CCCGTTGCCCTGCCTGAAACCCCCCCCCTCCCCCAGCCTCGGCTGGGGCTGGCTCTGCGTCCACCCTGCCTGGGGGCTGCCACGGCCCCGTGCTCGGCTGCCAGCTGCGTCGCACAACGGGGCAGCTCGCTGCCGCCGTGCTCTCGAGGCCGTGCCTGGCAACGGTGGGAGGGGAGAGGAAACGGAGGTCCCTGTGCCTTCAACACCCTCCTGTTCCCCTCAGACTCGGTCCTCCAGAGGGACCTTGTCAAGGCTGAGGTGTCTCTGTGGAACCAAAGGCAAAAGGGTAATGGGGGCCCCTGGGGCACCGTCTGCCACTTTTCTCTTGCCGGAGGTGAACGTGACCCACCACAGAGATGGGCCTGACCTCCTGAAAGGAGTCACAGCTCTTCCTGCCCTTCCTGCACACTCTCATCCTCTGAATTATTGTCTTATTTTCATTCTACTCCAATGAGCTGTCAGCCACGGATACAGTAATTCAGCGCACTAGAAACACAAACAGATGGGTAATTGACCCGCGTGCCTTCATTACACTGGAGTTCAGCGCTGCTCTTCGAGCTATAAACTCCTTTATCTGCCACTCCAAAATCCTTGGGCCTTTTATGAGGAAGGCGAGCGGGCCAGGCTTCCCACGAAAGGCTCACTCAGGGTTACTGTCGTCTCTGCGGCGCGCGCCGCAGATGCTGACCGAGTCGGACAAGCAGGACGTGCCAGGTAGACGGAAACAGCTGTGAACCCTCAGGGGCTTCTGTAGGGAGCCCAGAGACAGGGGCTGGAGAAGGACAGGGTGGAAAAACATGTACGCTGTACGCAGGGCAAACACTGAAACCCTTATCGTGTCCTCTGGTACCTGAGCAAGCGTACGCCTGCACAGCTGGGTGGGTACACAAATGCTTGCTATGGAGAAAGAGACATGGGGATAGATCCCTCAGCTAATGTAAATCCTCAGAGCACCGCTGAAATCATTGGCACTAAATCCATTTGCACTTTTACGGGATTTGGCAAGTAGCCTTCTTAGCAGTGAGCGCGCCCAAAAGACTTGGGTACCCAGCTCCTGCATTTATGCTGTGGGAGCTGGGCACTTAACTCTGCGAGGGTTTTTTATAAATCCCTCCTTGCATTATTTTCCTTTCTTCTGTTTTTCTTCCTTTCTTCTTTCCTCTTTCAGTGTGTAGTTTCCTTGTTTCTCTGGTACCAAGCCTATTCAGTCTCTCAGAACAGTGTAATGTTCATCACTTCTGAACTACTGGTTGGTTGCAAAGGACTAAAAAAAACCCCACAGCCAACCCCCGCACCTGGGGATAAGGGAGGGTTTGCATTCAGGTGCTTTGTGCTGTACTGGGATCCAGGACTGGGATGAAGGGGGTACACTGGGTGTTTGGGAGGGGGAAGTTACTTATCACCCTGCTCTCAGAGCAGATGGGCTCTGCTCGCAGCGAGCTCCCTACTTGCACTGGAGGCATGCAATTGGTACCCCACCTTCCTTACTCGTGACAGCTCCGAGAGACATCTCCCAGCAGCTCTTAATTCTTCAGCATCGCTTTCCCAAGCTGTTAATGAAACAGGTTTTGAAAAGAAGAACAGATACCTGAAATGCCTCCCCTCCACCCCCCCATCTCTCCCTCTTGTTTCTATGCCAGGTCTCCAGATCATCTTCCCGCAGTATTTACAAGAGAAGTTTGTCCAGTCTGCCTTGAGTTACATCATGTGCAATGGCGAGGGGGAGTACGTCTGCCGGAACAGCCAGTGCGGCTGCCAGTGCGCGGAGGAGTTCCCGCAGTGCAACTGCCCCATCACCGACATCCAGATCATGGAGTACACACTAGCAAACATGGCCAAGACCTGGACAGAAGCCTATAAAGATCTGGAGAATTCAGGTAACTGAGCAAAACACATTTTCTGATTGATTTATTTCAAACAAAACACGGCAGATTATGCCGAGTTTCTTCCTTCAATATGATGTTCCAGTTGGATAAAAAATAGAGAATATTGAACCCAATAACGTGATCTTAGTCTTGAGGGAGTGCCATTTTTTCTCTATACTGCTACAGACAAAAATACACACCACACGTAATTCTATGTGTAAGGGGATATTTTCCATGGAAGAATTTGTTAGATTAAAAATCTGATTTTTCATACCAAACCAGCTCAGAATCTCTCTTTAATAGTTCTACAGAGAAACTTCCACAATATGAATGATGCAGAAATTGCTTTTCAGATTTACATGAATGATTTATTCTGCTTTGGTGAAAGGCAATTCACAGAGAGAGAGAACAGGCCAGATGACACCTCATTTGAGACAGAGGAAGGGAAGGGAAAATGACTTCACTCTCCTACAGTGTTGATGTCGGCTGGTGTGAACGTTTCTCTTCTCCCTCCACTTTCTCTCGGAGTGATGCTGGGGGCGTCAGCAAAGTTTGTTCCACACTGATGCTGGTAACTCCATAGTAGGTGTCCTGTAGTACTTACGTGACATGCACTCTCAGGGGCTTGGGATAGGAAAGAGAGCAATAGCATCGATGCAGTTACATCCCTTCCTTTAAGCAAATGGTCTGCCTACCCTGAAGCCACGTGGGCACTAAGCAGAACTTAATCGAAAACTTACTATCCCTGTACTGACTCTCGTCTCTTAGTGCTAGCTGGTTACTTTCCAACACATTTTCTTTAATGATTATTGTCTTAACTGTCTGGGTATATATATTAGGAAAGAAAACTATGAGGAAGGGACCATCTAGCTCCATTCAAGGCATTGAAGAATTCTTCTTCAGAAGTCTCCCCAGCAGCAATTTTTTTCTTCATATTCAAGGTCACCTTAATCCCTTTAATGGTTGAAATCAAGCAGCCTACGATGTTTCCTCAATAGGCTGTTAAGGACTGCCTCGTATTTCTGTATGTGGACCCTGCTGGTGTGTCTGCTGTTGCACAGATTCTTATGTCCAACTCATGTTGTCAACTTGGTGCTCAACTGAGCAAAGTCAGAGTAGTAGTTAATGACCCAAGGCTGATGACTGTCTTGACAAGAGTCCTCCATTATACTATGGGCAGCCAGGAGGCTGGGTCATTTCCAGAACTAGGTCACTAGCTGAAGAGGTCAGTGGCTTTCTGGGAGTTTCTATAGATTCATGGATGGGGTGGGTACACCAGAGCAAAACAAAAATGTGGTTTTCAGAAGCTTCTGCTATCTCAGTACTACACAAATGAGGATTACTGACAGTCCCTGTCAGCACAACTCTGCCACTAGTTACACGTTACTGGTTGCCAGTTCTGGCACAGGATCTTCCCACAAGATGCTCAAGAGCCACATGTTGGTCACCACTCATCAAACCCATTTACATTCCTGGGGGATCTAACCCAGACACTTAAAGGGTGAACATACTAGAGAGAGAGAAGAATTGCATCCCACAATGATTGTTTTACTGTTACATTCTGTACTTGTTGCACTTGATCTAAGCAAAGACTGTGGTAGATAATTATATTCAGTCTCCCTCCCCTTGACATTTCAACAGGGGAAGGTGTTTTTCATTTGCCATGTTGAAGTGACACATTGTAGTGCAGTTCTCTGCTGTGCTGTAGCCATATTCCACCTAGGGCTGGAGGCTTTTCAGGGCTAGATGGAGTGATTATCTTTATTTTAAAGCTGCTGCATCCCATTCATCACTTTGTTGCATCATGCGTGAACTTACCCTTTGAGATGGAAGTCACTATCACAAAAGACTATAGCATTAATATTTTGCTTCTTTGTTTTAATAAATATTCCCAATAACTAGAGGATTTTCTTCATAATGAACAGCAGAAAATAAATCTCTAATGACATGTGAAGACTTTTCCAATAAAGTGGGCTGAAAGGCACATGAGTGTTCTGAAAGCAAATATCATTTGCACAGGAAGCTTCTGATATCCTAAAAGATCTATATTCTGTTTCTGATCTGTGTTGGATTCCTATGTCAATTTGAAAAAATCATGCAGGGCAAATCAAGAGTTAGTCTGATTTGGGACAGCATCTTCCAAGTCAAGGAGACTGAAGTGAACTGATGCTGCTTTAAATCAGCTCAGGAGATCTCTCTTAGTCCTGTGCTTCATTGCTCATGTGTAAATTGAGAAAAATAACACTATCTTATTCTTGACATTTTAGTGTGGCTGGCCAAAAAATTCTACATTGGAACTGTGATTCTGGATTTTAAAACAGCCTTTTGATTAAAAGTCATGGGTTTGGGGTTTTTTTTGCAGTACTATTGCTTTCTGACGAAAAGATGTTTTGTTGTTTTGTTTTTTTTTAACTGAAAAGACAAGCACTGGAAAAATGAAAGTTTCATCTTTGAAAGAGATGTTTGACATGGTCATTTTGCTGTGATGCCACCATTCTTCTCCAGAGGCTGGCCCCTCTGCCCCATACCACCTGCGATGTTGAGTCATTGCTGTGACTCTGCAAAAAGAGGGGCCGTGTTGCATTATGGGAGATGTAGTCTTAGCCATCATCAACATTTTCTGTGCAGATAAATAAAATAAAAACAAATGCAAACGGCCTTATTAGTTAATTGGAAATTCTCTGGGTTAAGAATGAACTGTTCCCAGAAAGGTACAAGCCTTAGCATGATGCAGCCATAGTCTGGGTTGGGGCTTCCAGGTTTGGTTATAAATAAATATAAATAAATAATGAAGAAACAATTCTTTTTGGAAAATATCTTCTTTTTTCACACACACCCCCCCTTTTGTTTTAAAACAACCCCATTCGGCTGTTATTTTCCCAGATTTCTTTGCTCATTTGTTTTTCCCCCAGCGTTGCACTGCAGTATCAAAATGTGCACACCGCACTGAAATTTCTCCCTTACCCGTCTCTGTGAAAAATGTAGCACATTCATCATCAGAGGGAAAAGAGCTTGGTCTTTTGCACAAACAGGCTTTTGAGGAAATTGATTTATAAGGGGCAGGAAGCAAATGCAAGGCTTTTACTGCTGAAAGGTACCAGGAGTAATCAGCATGGTCAACAGAAGCAATTATACATGATGATAGTTTCAGAGGGCCACTGAACAGGAGAGAATCATTTTTGGGGAGGAGAAGGGCACTGAAAGAAGCATTGCAAATAGAGTGAAAACCTGAGAGATGGTTAAAAAAAAAATAATCTCAGTTATGTTTGGGGAAGAAAGGAGACAAGCAGCTGTCCCGTGGATCTTGACAGTGCAATGACGATAATTATTTTTATTAGGTGCTTAGTTTCACCGTGTGAAGAGTGGGACATGAACATCCATTTACCGTCTATATAATGATGGTACTGACTAATGCATAGATATTCTTTGTTAGGCAGTTAAGCGTGAACCACAAGTTGTTGAATAATGGGAAATCTGTTATGCAAATATATATGAGCTTTGTATGATAGGTTGTAAATTATCTGGTTTGATTTTCTCCAGTAATACTACAGATTTTTATTTTTTTAAAGATATTTGCCTTTTCAAGCTTTAATTTTTTGCCTTTTCTTTTGCTATTGTCCTCTTTTCCTTCTGAAAATGGGATGAAGGAATTTAAGGGAAAAAAAAAACATTAGGCAAGGAAGAAAAATAATGCAGCTAGCTTACAGGAAAAAATGGCTGCATTTCTCATTGGATGCTTTGTGGGGTTTATGGCAGGGCTTTAGTCCAACCTCCCTCTAGAAGCAGGACTACCACCAGCACTAGATCAGGTCAGCCACGGTTTTGTCTAGCAGAGTCTAAAGAGAACCTTCTACATCTCTGGGCAGCAAGTTCCAGTGCTGCATTGCCTCCAAGTGAAGAAGTTTTTCAATAAATCATTTGAACTTCTCAAGCTGCAAACTGTCTATTACTCCTTGTTACATCATCTGTCTCTAATAAGAAGAGTTTCCTTTGTGTTTGTAAGTACCTTTTCAGCAGTTGTAGCCTGTAATTAGATTGGCCTTTGGTTTCTCCTTCACCTTCAGTAAGTGCAGCTCCCTCCACCTGACTTTGTACGCGTTCTGTTCCAGGCCTCTGACCATCGCAGTAGCCCTCAGCTGTGCCCTCACCAGTTTCTCAACACCCATCTTTAATTGGATGTCCCTAAAGCTGGACAGAGAAATGCAGGTGCAGCCTCAATAGTGCCAAGACGAAGGGAACATTAACTTCCCCAACATACTGGATTTAGCCCAGTATGCAGTTTGTGTTATTTCCAGTGAGAACATAGTGTTGACGCACCTTCAACTTGATGCCCACCATAACCTCCACGACCTGCCCGGCAGTTGCTATGGAGTTGGTTGTTTCCAAGCCTGTACCGATGCGTGGGGTTGCTCTCTCCTGGTGCAGAGCTTTGTTCCTTCCTTTATTGAACTTTATGGGGTTTTTCTTGGCCCGTTTCTTGCATTTCTCAAGGTAGTGGCGTGTCAAACACAGTTTTCTGGTATCAGAAATGGGTTATTTTCTACTGAGAAAGTTGGAACCACCTGTCTTTTCCATATGAGGATGTCCCAGCTTGGTAATCAATCTAAGAAAACTATACTTCTCAGTTAGGAAGAAAGTGATGGTCATAAACAGAAACAGTATCAGATTTTCTGTTTTGTGATGAAAAAAATCAAACAAACCATACATAATGTTTTTTTCATTATCAAACAAATTCAAACGGAAATAAAGTGATCACAAACCAACATTTAGCATCATATTTTTTGGATCAATTTGATTTTTTCTTTTGGCTAAAATTGACACATTTTGTTCTGACTTTAACCCTACAAACTATTTTATTTTCATTGTTACATAAAGCAACTCATTTAACTTCAAATGAAGTTAAATTTAACTTTAAATGAAGATAAATGAGAAAACAAAACAATCAGAATGCTCTTTTTAAAAAATGAACAAACAAGACATTTTAATACAATCCAAGCCCTTCCTCTGGGAATTTTTTTAAGCTTTTTTTAATCTTTCTTTTTTTTTAACGACAAAGCCGAAGTTATTTGACTTCTACAATAAGTGGCATTTTTGGAGCAGCCAAAAAAGAAATTAAATGAGAACTTTTTAACTGACAATGATTAAAACTCCCTGTTTTTTTGTTCATAACCCCTAGACTGTAATCCTATGCTCCAGGGAACTTGCTCTCTTTTTCCTCCACCTTGTACACATTAACCATATTGTTTCACCTTAATACTCTCTGGGTTTCATTTCCCATATGGGAGCAGCAACAGCCATGGAATCAGTAGGCTTCCTGGGGCAGAATGACAGACCAGTGAGTTAATGGACATCACCTTCCTTTAGCAGAGCACTGATGGCCTCGTACATCATTGCTGTTTCTCCATCCTGCTAATGAAAAGGTTTGTAACTTTGTTATGGTTCAGAAACCTCTGTATTTCTCCGCATTCTTGTGTATTCCAGATGAGTTTAAATCCTTCATGAAAAGGCTACCTAGCAACCACTTCCTGACCATTGGGAGCATCCACCAGCACTGGGGGAACGACTGGGATCTGCAGAACCGCTACAAGCTGCTGCAGAGCTCCCTGGAAGCCCAGCGCCAGAAGATCCAGCGCACTGCCCGCAAACTCTTTGGCCTCAGTGTCCGGTGTCGACACAATCCTAACCACCAGCTGCCTAGAGAAAGGTACCTTCGTCCTTCGTGCGGAATGAGTGTGTGACTTGTTGGAGCTGAGTCTGGGCTTGGACCCAACAGCCTAAGTGTTTGGATATAGGGTGTGCTAACATGGAGGTTTGAGGGAAAATGGTAAAGCCCGGGAGTGGGTTGAAATTTCTGGAGGTGTAAGTAACCTGTATTACATACATAAGCATATTGACATCCCTTCTGTGTGGTCTTACCCACCAAGGTGAAGGGCAGCCACTTACCCCATAATGTTCTGCAAGAATATTACAGGGCTGACGTCAGACAGCCAAGCAAACTAAGCTGCTTTTTGAGCAGTCTTGCATCATGTACCACAGTCAAGCTTCAAGCCTCCATTTGCTGTTAAAGTGGACATATGGAGCAAAAGATGCTTCAGCCCATTTTTGAGTTGTGCTCCTCAATGAATATAGCCAGAGTGAAAGAGAAGCTTTACTTCGCTTGGAATAGATCACATCTCTCCTACAAAATGCAGAGTGAACCTGCAAACCTGCACTGACCAGAAGCCTAGCAATGTTATTACAGTTGGAGAGAGTAGATTTTCCATTACAGCTACAGCAACTATTGATATCCAATAGTCACCTCCTGCTGGCTCCTTTCTGCCCTGACCTATGGCTGAGCTTAAGTTTGCTTCCAATCACTCTGTTGGACACTTTCATCAGTGTTTTAATAAACACTTCTTGCTGTTTCTTTCTACATTGTCTGAAGCAAAGTAACACTGAAAATCTTGGAATAAATGAGTCCAAGTGCTTCTCTCAGAAAGGTCAGACCAAGTTAGCATTTGTGGAGGAACTGGTTTTTTACCTCCTTTTTTACTTCCTTCAGTACCTAAATATCCAGTCTCCATAGAAAATTAATGGGCTCACTGCTGTCTCCTGTTATCACCCGTCCCCCTGGCCACTAAGGACACTGAGTTTTCATTTCATCACCGTGCAGCTCCGAAAAGTCTTCCAGGGCTTAACATGTCTTTAATTACCAAGAAATCTCATGTTTCTGGACAAAGACTCGATGGACTTACTAGGGATGAGGAGAAATATCTATTAGGTTTAAGAGATTATGAAAAAAAGCCTTTGGAGAACTTCCTAAAATTGGCCCGTTCCTGCCAATTGGCTGAGCTGCTATAAACAATCCAACCGGTGGAGGAATCACAAGCATGTCCAGGCATTATTTCGAGTTGTGCCACAACAGCAAAGTGAAGCAGCAATGAGCAAATATGCAGCCAACCATCTTTCTGCAAAGCATTCAAATAAATATGTCTTTAGCATTTCTCTTCTATTCTAAAAAATCAGGCACGCAGAAAGGGAGCCTCCAACTGATACTATAAAATCTGGAGGGAGGAGGACAAAATGGATGATGGCAGCTGGGTTTTTAACTGACTGATGTGCTTGATTTGTTTAAGTCAACACCACCAGGCGTATTATCATTTCTTTTCTTATTTGTCATTCTGCATTTGTAGCTAGGCAGGGGAGGGGCTTGGTAGACAGATACGTAGTGGAAGAGGTATGCATTTCATCATTCTTTTCACAGAGCTTGGAAATACTCTAATTTTCTAATTGTTACTGTACAGAACGACAGACGCTTATCAAGCATGCCAGTGGCTTTGAAAGGATGGAAAGATTGTATTAAGAGCAAGCCTCTCTCTCTCTTTAATACATATAATAGTAAACCTACATTATGTATTCAAAGGCAATGTAAAAAAGAAATAGGTTTGCTGTTGATTGTCCTGGGGGAAAGGAAGAGGTGGTGTTTCCGAAAGAAAGAAAGAATGTAGGGATTTTGGCAATTAGGCTGATTCTCCATGACCTTTTTCAGTAGCTAAAAAGGAAATATATACATATATATGTATATATTTGCTCTGTACTGCTTTTGCTTAAATAACACCTCTTTGCAAGGAAGTTTCTTGGTTTAAAAAAGAAACCACTCCTTAGTGGTTAAAGCTTCAATATTGAATGAGTATCTATAGTTGCATTTTAAATTTCTGGATGTAAAATATAAATAACATCCAAAGGAAGGGGGGGGTGATACATTTTCTGGGCTCCAGCCAAATTGTCATTAGTTAAGAATACATCTCACAGCTGCTGAGAATAAAAATAGCATGTTTTACTTCACTGTTCCATACAGAAAGCCCAAAAGTGCCTCCACAGCAGCTAGTGCTGGTTGAAAAGTGAAAGGTGAGTTTACAAAGGAAAACTTGTTAAATCCCTACCTTTTTTCTTTGCAATAAACAAAAAGAATTTGTCCTGCTGGACACCACAATTTTGGTGGTGTTTTTTGGTGTGTTTTTTGTTTTGTTCTGTTTCGGTATGGTTTGGTTTTCTAATCAGCTCAGACACCATCTACAACAACGCTGCATCTTCATCTCAAGGGACACCCATCAGCCTCTTCCCCTCCCCAGACCTGATTAATCCTGAAGGATGACAAGTCAGGAGGAAAGAAAATTATTCATCACCGTTCTGTATAACCTGACCTCTGCTCCTGATCTGAAAGCCCAACACTGGCCTGCAAAAACATTTTTTTTGTCACAACAGATTGGTTTTAAATGGTCAAACAAGCTCTGCTTGATTACTTGGCTCCCAGTTCCCAGCATTGCCGGGGGACTGCATGTCTCCACTGAGCAACAGCAAGCAAACACAGCAAAAACCCTCTCACTCTCAGCTTTGCCTGAATGTAATTTTTTTTTCCATTTTAGTTTGGAATGTAAGATATTAAAGTTGAATGTAAAATTGCTTGACGGTGACCTTTGAAGACATAGTTTCCCTTTTTTTAATTTCCCATGCTCTAGTACTTTATACTTTGAACTGGCAGAGGTAGCAAACATTAGGCAAAATAACTTTTGCACTGATATTAAGAGGGAGAAAGATAAACTGATGACTCTGTAATGAAAGAGAAAAGAATTAAAATGAAAACCACTGGCGACTCTTCTACTGGCTTTCAGCTTTTAAACAGTGGCTCTTTTCAGCTTCCTTCTGCCCTGACATCTCTAGGTTATATTCACATGAGTCTGACCATCACGGGTGTGTGTTTTAAGAAGTTACCCCCTGTCAGCTGAAGGGCTGTGACTGGTCCCGTGTATATTCTTATCCAGTCCCAGTTGCAAGTCAAAATGGGGTAATTTATACCACTTTTCCTATCTCTCACTCTATCACACTTCCCATTGTCGTGTTTGTATCCGATGCCCAGCTCTGCCCTGGATTCTGCATTTTCATTTAATTACATCTTTTATTGCTGCCATCAGCAGATGGGTGGTAGCCTTTTTTTTTTGTCCTACTTGTGTCTTTGCTAATGCTAAGACATATACTCCCCCCCCTCCAAAAAAAAACAAACAAACACCCAATCGTCTTTCTCCTGATCTCCTCCCATCCTTTCTCCACAAAGTTGATCTGGGAAACAGGAAAATTACTAGTTTTAGTTGCAAGATATCAGCCAAGACTCCTTTCTCGCTTTGCTCTGCTGAATGCTAGTATAACAGAAGGATGAAAGGATAACATTTGATTTTTTTCTAAGACAGAACACACCTAAGGCAGACAGGATATGGTCATCTGACTAGTTTTTATTGTGTCCCTTGCTGTACAGTCTGGCAGTCCTTGTCCCATGAACTCCGTGGCATTATCAACAGGTAAAACCTGTGTGTCAAGCATCGGGCCAGCACTGCACAAATACAGCGGGAATCCTGTAGACGAACTCGGGAGACGTACGCTCACTTGCGCAGAGCTGGAATTGAGGTCTATGCACGGTAGCTGTTCAGCGTGCGTTTGGCTGTCGTTTGCCTGCGCAGCTGTACTGGCAGCTGCACGGAAGTGATGTCAGCATAACCACACAGACGCACCTCTGACAGTGCCGACTATCTCATCAAACCCACCTCAGAAGCCACCTTTAGTCCTATGAGCGATGTTTACTACGTCATCTGGAAGCTCAGTCCCACAAAAAGCAATAAATATGACCTGAGAGCGCTGTGGAAATCAGGGGAATAGTGTCTTCACCTCATGGGTAATGGTAGGGATACTAAGAGGGCACATGGTGGAGCTGGACATTTACCATCTCTCTGCCACCAGCCTGCTGCCTCAGCTCTTCATTTTCTTTGTGCCACTGGGCTTCTCCCTGTCCTCGTCGTGGTAGAAATTACAGTGCGAGTGGGAGCTAGGAACAAAGCTTGGGACTGCAGAAGATACTTCCTTCAAAGCAACCTCTGATTTTCATCATTGTCATCAAACCCAGCCATGGGAAGAGGCAGCACGCAGGGACCTTGTGCTTCCCTTAAGCAATTCCCCCAACTCAGTGAACCCAGGCAGCCCGTGTGCGTATATTGGAGGGTGGTTTTGGTTTTCGTTTGTCCTCCACTTGCTCATCGTCCCTCGGCTTCATGCTCAGATCAGTGGTTAGAAGCAAAGAAAGAAGCTTTCAAGGAGGCACATGAAGGACTCGGGGTGGGCTCACAGCACCTTAGGGAGATTGAAACCTGGAATCTGGGTACCTTGCTAAATTGAAGTGCATTTGGCTGGCTTTCCAAACAGGAACTGCAAGGCTTCAGATGGGGTAAAAATTATTTGTATTACTGAAAAACTGAGCAAAAATTCGCCTATGAGCAGGAGGCAGACTCAGTCCCCAGGGGATGGTTTTGGGAGTGCTTGTTGCTGTCAGCAATGTGTTTTGCTGCACTGTCCCCTCCCCTCCGAAGCAGAGCTATCCTAGAAACCAGGAGCTGGCTGCTCTTTTTCTAGGGACCAGGGATGTCACCGTCTCCCTCTGCAGCAGATATTTATCGAGGCCACTGCCTTGCTCCCAGGCTCCCCAGCCAACCTTGTCTTTTCCACTCGCAGGAAAGCTCCTGTTAGCTGTGAATAGGGGAAAGAGACCCTGGCAGCCCCCACCACAGAAGGAATGTGAAAAATTGTCTCTTCCCATATCCAAGACTTCAGAATTTTCCTGCTAATGGACTTCCTTCTTCCTCACTCTGCCTTTTTTTTTCTTTCACTCAGTTTCTTCCTGCTTTTTTTCACTCCTGCCTGTCCTCTGTCTTTCAGTTGTTGCTGCTGTTTCAGTTTTCCCTGTTCCTCCTGGCCACTGTATTTGTCTCTCATTTTTCCTTTTACCTGCACATTTTCCCCCTCTTTCTTCTTCTGCTCCTTGATTATTTCTTTCCTTCCAGTGCTTTTCTCTGTTTTATACTCTCATCCCTCCGCTCGCTCCCTCCCTCTAATCATCTTGCTGTTCTTTGCTGCTGTATCATTTAATGCCTTCTTTGATACAGCCTACAGCTTAATGATTATTCGGAGGTCAGGCGATGCAGGTGCCATGAATTTCACTAATCCAGCTCTGAGAGCCTCTGTCCATAATCACTCCTCCCCTTCTACAGGGACTGAATCCTAATTTGTCATTAGCCAGTCCTCTCACTGCAGCGCTACCAAGAACTTTTTGCCCGGAGGAGACAATGAAGTATTCATCAGCTGGGGGGGAAGGCGGAGGGGAGGGAGCCGGCGGCTGAGCAAGGCGTTCTGCTGAGAAAGGAGTCGCTGTGCTGAGACTTCCCGGGGCGGTGGGGAGGGGGGAAGAAGGGGCAACAAGGCAACGCTGTGAGTGGGTAACACAAAAAGGCAACGTGGGTTACGGTGCCATTCATTAGGAGTCGTTCCAGGGCTGCAGGACACGAAGGTGAGGGTGCCGATACAGCAGTTATGGGAGTGGTGGGGCTTGGGAATGGGCCAGTGTGGCTGCTTGTTAAGGGGAGAGGCTGTAAGAGGAGGTTAATTAGCAGCAGATTTTTTAAAAGAGAAGCTGTTCTAGCAGCTTTGTCTCTGTGCATCCTGATTTCCACTTTCTTTTCTGCTGTTATTGTGCTCTGCACCATGAGCAGAGGTTGCTAATGGCTTTGCCTCATCCCATTATAGGTCTGGTTTTGGAGAGTGGGAGGAATTGCCAATGACATAGAGAGGAGCTTTCTCTTGCTAGCCTAGGCGTTATGCTGACTTGCAACGTCTGATAGCAGCTCAGCCTCTGGCATGGCTTTATCAGCTCTGTTCCCATGGTTGAACATTGTCACTGTGGCACTGATGGGATCCTTGGCAGGAGACTTGTGCTAGTCTCAGTTCCTAGAGCAGTGTGAAGAGAGACACTTCAAATGATCAATCCTAACTTCTAGCTATTTCTTAGATGGCTTTTGTTCTCCACCAAAAAACAACAGATGAAAGATTCAGTCTAGAAATAGACTGGAATAGCTCCCAGATGCCACGGCAGGGCATCAGTGTTCTGAGAGCTCTGCCTCAGATACATCCCTGAAAACACTGTGGCTCTAGTAAGGTGCCAACACCAAAAACTCTGTGAGGGTCTACAATGCTAATGCTTTCTTCTTCCTACCTGCAGGACAATACAGGAATGGCTTACCCGAGTCCAGTCCCTGCTCTACTGCAATGAGAATGGGTTCTGGGGGACCTTTCTGGAAAGCCAACGGAGCTGCGTTTGCCATGGTGGCACCAGCCTCTGCCAGCGCCCCATCCCCTGCATCATTGGGGGCAACAACAGCTGTGCCATGTGCAGCCTTGCCAACATCTCTCTCTGCGGCTCATGCAACAAGGGCTATAAGCTTTACCGGGGTCGCTGCGAGCCTCAGAACGTAGACTCGGAGCGGAGTGAGCAGTTCATCAGCTTTGAGACGGACTTGGACTTCCAGGACCTAGAGCTGAAGTACCTGCTGCAGAAAATGGACTCTCGCCTGTATGTGCACACCACTTTCATCAGCAACGAGATCCGCCTGGACACCTTCTTTGACCCCAGGTGGCGCAAACGCATGTCCCTCACCTTGAAGAGCAACAAGAACCGGATGGACTTCATCCACATGGTGATCGGGATCTCCATGCGAATCTGCCAGATGCGCAACAGCAGCCTGGACCCTATGTTCTTTGTCTATGTCAACCCGTTCAGCGGGAGTCACTCTGAGGGCTGGAACATGCCCTTCGGGGAGTACGGCTACCCACGCTGGGAGAAAATCCGCCTCCAAAACAGCCAGTGCTACAACTGGACCCTGCTACTGGGCAACCGGTGGAAAACCTTTTTCGAGACCGTCCACATCTACCTACGCAGCCGGACTCGGCTGCCCTCCCTGCTGCGTAATGAGACTGGCCAAGGGCCTGTGGACCTTTCTGACCCCACCAAGCGTCAGTTCTATATCAAGATCTCAGATGTGCAGGTGTATGGCTACAGCCTGCGTTTTAACGCTGACCTACTGCGCAGTGCTGTGCAGCAGGTCAACCAGTCGTACACGCAAGGCGGGCAGTTCTATTCTTCCTCCTCCGTCATGCTCTTGCTGCTGGATATTCGGGACCGAATCAATAGACTGGCGCCTCCCGTGGCCCCAGGGAAGCCCCAGCTGGATCTGTTCTCTTGTATGCTCAAGCACCGCCTGAAACTCACCAACAGCGAGATCATCCGTGTGAACCACGCTCTAGACCTGTACAACACCGAGATCCTCAAACAGTCGGACCAGATGACAGCCAAACTCTGCTAACCCGGACTTTTCAGTGGACATGTTGGTGATTGATCCTTTTGCTGTAAAAAAAATAAAAGAGAAAACAAAAAAAAAAAGAGAGAAAAAAAGTGAAAAGAAAGGAAGGAAAGTGGGGGGAAGTTAAGAAAGGGGGGAAAAACAAGATTTGTAAAATGTAATTCATATACAAAAGAGAAAAAAAGAGGAAATTCTTCATTTGTTGAAAACTAAACCCGTTCTAGCAGCTGTATAAAACTGTCAGGCATGTTTGTTATTTCTATAATCCGTCATAAAAGGGTAACACCTTACTCTCTCTTGACCTTGGGGGTGTTGCTTGCTAGTCCTTAGGGGCAGCAGAGTAAATAAAGGGAGGAACAGAGAAGGGGGCAAACTTCTGTAATGAACTGTAAAGTTTTCTGCTATGCAGGTGCCAAGACAAAGAGACAAACAAACAAACAAACAATCAAAGCAAACAAACAAACAAGAGTTATATGTAAATGTAAAAGAACTGCCATTATTCCTATAGTGGGAGTAAATGGTTAAAGATAAAAGAGATTTCTTCTGTTGAGATTTATGACAGCTTTATGTTGAGTTATTCACGCAGCCTATGCTGAGCTTCACTGGAGGACAGAAGGTGATGGCAGTCCTTTGAGAGTAAAACTAATGCCTCATTGGTGAGAAGACACATAAGAGGTGGAGGGTGGGTGCAGGTGTCAGGTGTCTTCACTTTGGAATTTCCATCTTGGAAGACTTTTCACCAGAGGTAGAGTCTCAGCACTTGCTGAAGAATGGGACGTCAGGTCCCTTTGGCTGATTTGCTCAACCGGAGTTCATGTCCTGCATGAGACTGCTGTTGTCTTCAGCGATGTCAGAGCTTAACCCCTTGAGGATCAGCACCTGTAAGTCTTCAGAGTCACTCATCTTTAAGGTATTTCAACAGAGTCCCTAAAACAGAAAGCCAAAATCATATGCCACTTCGATAAACCTAAACTTAAAGGCAAATCTGAGTTGTTTGGCTTTTTGCCTCAGGTTCTGGGTTTTCCAATAATTCTGGTAAACCCTCATCACCACAAAAAACAAAGCACAATGCAAGAAAATACATTTACAAGGAAACCTGGAGACACTGAAGTGTACACACATCATTTTATTTCTTTGGGGAAAGAAAAATCCCTTTTACTTTGTTACGTTTCCGTGGCTGTGAATAATGTCCTTGTTTCATTTACACTTTCGTTGTGCTTTAAAAAAAAAAATACAGAAAACAGATGAGAAAATTACATTAAACTATCTGCAAAAGTAAAAAAAAAAAGGGTGGGAGGGAAGAGCACAGTAACCAAATCTACCTTGAATTTGCAAGGATAAAGCCAAATTAAAGAGGGATGAGTTATCAAAAAAATAACTAAAAGGTGGGTAAAATTTACTGGAGTGTGTCTTCACATGTGTTTGGATTTAAAAAAATAATATATTGAATGGAGTCTATGAATGTAGGATCAACTGAGCTGGGTGATGAAGCCTTCACACAGTGGGAGGTGAGTAGTGGGATGTTTCTCTTAATGTCACTGTTTTTTAGTTAAAGTTGATTGTGAGAAGTGCTAGTGAGAGACTAGAATTTCTGCCATCCTAGGAAGGAGAAATAAATCTCTGATCCTGCTGGTTTCTGGAGCTGGAGGAGTTTCCTGGGGGAAAACTGGACCTGGGCAGGAGGGACAGTCCTGATCCAAAGTCCAAGATTCAGGTCTGGCTTGAGATTTAACATGTTGATTCAATCGAGTTCAAAATAGCCTTGTAGGAATTTTGACCTTCTTTGAAGACTTTGGCTCAGATTCTGTGAATAACATCAGTTCTTCTGGAAAGAGCTAAATGCATTGTGGTATTATTCATGTGACACCAGGGACTTAAACAATTACGTTTGGCTTCGGGTTTAGTTTAATTTGTGTGGTTTTGGTTGATGCTCATCCAAACTAAGAGGGAATTAGGTACCTTAAGGAAAATATACATTCACTGAACTCTCCTG